AAGGTTTTTTTTATTTGTGATTTCAAAGTTTCGACGGATATCTATTAATTTGCACTTTTGGCACCAAAACATTTTCCTGGTTTAAACGTATCAGATGTGTTTTCCTTCGCTGTCTACATTTCATTAATTAATCTAAGACTACCGAAAATAAAAGTAAAAAAACACTCAGAATCTGAATCAGAATCAGAAATACTTTAATAATCCCAGAGGGAAATTACTTAATTTTAATTACTTACTCACAGCGTCTCTGCTTTTTTTTTTCATTTCGGTGTTTAATTTATGTAAATACATTCTAAAAGGTAAAACCAAATAAACAAATAGAAACTACAAAGACATTTCTATGACAACAAGTTCAAACAGCATAATCCAGCCCAAGGTTTTTTTTATTTTAAATGTGCTTGTTTTTTATGAAACCAGTCAAGGTAGAATCATGATTTTATCAACTTTTTATATGATCTGAAACATAAAAATAATGGTGGGGAAGACTTTTTTAACATAACTATGGTTTAAATATACAAGCATTAGCAGTGAGTCAGTTAAACAGAGTTTTTTTTCTGAAAAACCACAAAACTGTTGCTTTTATTTCAAATATGTAGATTTTATTTTGTTGGAGATATCCTTAAAACTTCCTTAAACTTTTCATTTATTAATCAAACATCTCAAGTGGGGTCCCAACCTCAAGTTTAAGGACCTTTAAACATAATAAAAACTATTTAAGTCAGTCATTTGTACAAATTATTGCCTACTTTTTATATACATCAATTTCAATATAAGCTCCACTATTTTTTTTTAGTGCAAATGGAAAGGAGAGAATAGCCCTAAATGAATAATAACTACAGTAAATACTGTAGTACTTAGTGATCTTAAAGAGCAGATGGGGAATTACAGCCCAGATGTTGTATAAATACACCTAACTGGAAATAAGCTTGAAAAAGTGTATTTAAAGAAAAATGCTTAAAAAAAAAAAAAATTCATTGGTAAAATTTAATTTAATTTTTTATTTTTTTTTTACAGTTAAACAAGCATAAAATTCATGGAAAGTAAATGTAAATAAATCTTACTTTCACAATCGCTGTATTCTTTATAATTCACTACCATATTACACATTACAATAACTAATAATACTTATATATTTAAGTATATTTGTAGAAATCCTCCACACCTTTCAATTTATTCTGTCTCAGATCATTTTTCCACATGAGATAATTCCAGGTGACTGTATGCTGCACTTTTAAACACGTCATAAACGGAGTGATTTCCTTGAGATAAAAGCAAAATAAAAACTTTCCATTGCTGGCTTTTATTTACACATACACTCATTGGCCTGGAGGTATAATTGAACAAAGTACACAGGTGAGCACTGTTGCTGTGTCACATCTTGTAAAAAAAAATCCCAGGACTGGATTTAAAAAAAAAAAAAAAAAAAAAAAAAGTTCCTGCTTTGTGACTTTAAACGCGCTTCTCCTCTCCATAAAAAATTAATCTACTGAGCCAGTCAATAAAGTGTCCACCTGCAAGCAACCTCACACACTCCCCTGTTGGACAAAGCGGATAACTGCACCCTAAAGAAAAAAAAAGTGGGATTCTTCCTCTTTGAAACTGTTCATAAAGACAAATGAAACCTAAAGCTGCAGGTTTCATGTCATATTTTCTGTCAGTGACTCATAGACAATTCTGACTGTTGTTGGAAACCACAGGAAGGATGTGGACATGTACTTGCTGCTCATCTCAAATATATGTAGAAATGCGCCAACTTTGCTTTGTGTTTGAAAACTACTTTGGGGGGGGGGGGGTGATGTGGGTCAAGGCAGTTGATCGTTTGGAGGCCCTGCAGAGCCTCCAGATGTAAACACAACCAAATCCCTCATGTTTCCTTCTAATTAATCTCATTTGTGAAGCATCAAAGGTCAGATAAGCCGGTCACTCCTGCCACTAATAACAGCAGAGGGGGAGTAAACAAATATGGGCTGAGAGCCAGATACATATTTCTTAATGCTTACAGTGTTTCCATAATTTTGCTCGGAGCTAAAAACAATTTCTCCTAATCCCCATTGGTGTCTAATCCCTAACAGCACAACTGATGCTCGTGACTTGAGGAGTTTTCCAGAATTCCCTTGGAAGCGCTTCATTTGCTTGGACAATCCTCAGCATCACCCTACACCTGGTAAGCAAAAGCTTTATTTATCTCTCCATGAACCCATGATTACTCAGATTACCACCTGTTCTTCAACTTTGCGTGCTGGCTAAGCTAAATGAGCGTTCAGGTATATAGCGGTGTGTAGGTGTGAATGTGTGTGGGAGGGAAGAAGCCAACAGGAAGCCAGTTGTTGGGTGTCATTGCCAAGGAACCGGATGGTGGAGATTAGGAGTACACTGGAGATCAGGGAGCACAACATTTAGCACAAAAAAAGCTTGCAAATCCCCAAAGCGACTTCTCAGAACCAACGATGGGAACTTTGTTTCACCCCTCTGATTCCGTAGGCGTTGAACTTCGCAGGACCTTGGCTTCCCCTGTCCTCTAAACCTTTTATCTGCCTTAGGCATTACCACATGGCCCAGTCACCAAGGTATACCCAGGTTGTAAAAAGTTACTGCTTCTCACTGCCGAACACTTTCCATTTTACATTTCCTACAGTTTGAAGTCCTTAATTTCTGACTACAACAGAGAAAGCTTCAAAGAGGCCTGGATTATTTCATCTAATATGTAGTGCAGTTGTCTAGCTGGCTGGAAAAAGGGCTAATTCAGTCTTTGGTCAACCCAAGCAAAGGAGGAGGCAGGCGTGATCATTTAGAAGTGATTTATTCAATGAAATGACAGCAGACAAAGTAAAACAAAGAGAAAAACACCTGGAAACATGAGGAGCAGCCAGAGAATCCAGTGACACATTGTTGGAACCTGAGCTTCAATACTGGGAGAATGATAACTGCAGCAAGGAACTGGGGATTGTAATTACCTGAATGAAGTACAGGAGAGGTGAGGAAATGACTAACTGAATGATAACTAAACGCAGGTAAACAAAACCTAAACTCAGTCAATACGCTTTGCAAATGCATTGCATTCCTTTTAATAACTATAAAAAGATCAATCTGTCTGTTTTCTGAAGATTTCCGGTCATAAGGAATGCATATAATCAAGAATTGATTCCTTCCCACTATCACCTCAATCCTCATCATCATGCAGGAGGTCAAAACATTGCGCCTGTAAGCCAGACCAATAACGACCCGAGTGACTCCCCATTAAAAAGTGGTGGACCTGTTTTGGTTCAATTTGCATGCTTTCTAAGCCAAAACAAGGCCTTTGTTGTGCTAATCTATAAAGCCTGGAGCTCCACACTACTCCAGACAGTTTGAATTTGGGAAAGCTTCCTGGATGGGAAGCGAAACATCTTTAAAGTCGTAGGGAAATAGCCGTTCCAACCATTGCATTTCCAAATTCTTGTGGTGCACGACTTTACACGAGTGAATAAAGTGAATGTGATTGGTCATTTATCAAGGGGGCGGGATTGTTTTGGTGGAAGATTCCCAAGCAAGTTTGGTCTGCTGGTTTGCTAACCAGTTAGCAACTTAGTGCTAGTAGGTTCCCAATGGGAAATTACATTGCGACCAAGTAGCACTAAATTGGTGACTTAGCAACAACACTGTCAAGGAACGCTATGGACAGAGGAAACATGCAAGAGGAGGAGAGTTTTGTATCAGAAGTCGTGGATTAGTCTCCTCCGTCATACATTGTTTATTTAAAGGAGGAAATCGGGGACAAAGATGTTGTGGAAGAGGACGCCATGGCGGCAGAAGCTTGGTTTGGTGTAGAAGGCTTACAGCCATCCATGTTTGAGCCCTTGCCTCGCAATGCTGCCAGTTCTGTTAGCTCTACGCCTGCCGAAGACACAGACGTCTATCCCTGTAAACACTGCGACGAAACTCAATGGGAAAGGAAATTATTATTATTTTTTATTTCAACCGTTGCGTATATCAGCTGCGAGATACGAATCAAAATGCTATGTCTGGAAAAAATTTAATTGACAGATGATCGATGATATATGATTGGCCGAATTTAGGTGTACAAGCTGACGCATAACTAACTGGCCTGCATAAGATTTTTTTATAGAAATTTTAGAACTTTTGGGACACTATGGTCTGATAAAGAGTACATTCATATACATGTTTAAGCCAGAATGATTTGACATTTAAATATGATTTCGCTACGACTTTAAACTTGGAAAAAAAAGTCCAGTGGTTTGTTTTTAACTTTTTTGGAAAAACATATAATAAAGCTGCACTTTAAGTAGCGCCGCCTGTTTCTTCTGATTAATTTTTGTCAGTTAATTAATTTGGTTAATTAGACCATGCTGTGTAGATTTAAATCTTTGTGATAACGCCCTGATGTTATGGTATTTTCAGCCAAAGTTATCATAATATGAGAACCTCATAAATGATCAGTTATTAATGTTTCTTATTCTGAAACTTAAAGATGAAGCTTTTCGGTTGTTTACATCCAGCATTTGTGTTAATAAAGCAGCAGTTAAGGCCGGCGGCAACTAAATACGCTCTTCAGAAGCACATGAATATTTGAAGTTCATGGTGGAGAAACAAGAGGAGGAGGAGGGCAGCAGATGGGTTGGAAAACAAGACTTGGAATCAGCCCCACTTTCTACTAACATGTAACAGAAGTAAACAAAGGCGCAGCGGGGATTTAAGCCGTATAAACAGACCAACTTTATTCTCGTATTTAGAAACCATCTTAAACTCATGACTCATCCTCTTCAGCTTGATTAAATGTTTTTGCAATGGAGCTAACCTTGCACTCTAAAAAAAAAAAATGGGGTGCAAAGTTGGAAAATTATAAAATGAAATCAACAATCCTCATCAGCTGAAAAATGCTCTCCATCATCCACTGTGATCATATTAACACACTAATTCACGGTAGTTACTTTGGCATTCCTTCAGTCAGGGAGCAAAACCCTTTCAGCAGCATGAAAACAAACTTTGAAGCCACTCTTTACCTTGGAAGAAGCTTTTGACGCGGAGGTAGGAGACGGCCAGGCGCAGCACGGACAGCTTGTCCAGTTTGGAGATGACATCTGGGGGGAACGGCAGCAGGCTGGCCAGCCGGTCCAGCTCAGCATTGAGCCTGTCCCTGTGCCGCTTGGACGGGTTGCTTTTCTCACTGGCAGACGACGGCTTCCTGTGGGCGAGACGGCAGAAGAGATAAGAGGACACTGATATGTAGATGTGGGTTCATTTGGAATCAAGGTGTCAGAAAATGCTATTTTCTTTGCAAAACTTCTGGAGCAATGTTGAACTTTAAACCTATTTTAAACTTTTTGTGTTAACATATCTATTTAAAATTGAATTTAAGTTACTTTCTTTAACATCACATGGATACAATATATCCAGTTTGTCAGTCTTTATAAATATTAGTTACAATTAGGAATAAAATGTATAAATACGCTCTTTGCAGGTGAGTTTTTATTAAGTCTCTAATATGGCAAGCTCAGCAGGTTGCAAAAGTATACAGAGCAAGATGACTTCATAAAACCATACGGCCTACAAGGACTTCTAATATGCCATAAAACCACATTTATTATTCACTTTCGACTATAAGTAAAGGAATGAAAAAGCTCCAGAAACAATAAAATAAAAACTGCAGCACTCGCTCCTTTCAAATGCTTCCCCACAATAAAGTTAGTGGATAGACTGCATGAAATGTCTCAGTGGAGCTGGAATCAAACGGAGGGATTTCTTATGCTGTGCCACATTTTTCTAAAGAATCAGAATTAAATATATTCTAAAAAAAAATGAAAAAAGGAGTCTTAAATCCATGGTCTAAATTCTCTATATATTTTTTTGTTAGGTTGGATTTATTTTTTATTTTTTTGCTACTTTACCAACATATAAAAAAAAAACAAAAAAAAAATCTATGGCAACCACAAAAACACCAGAATACTGATGCGCTTGTTTCATTTTTAGGAGCTGTAAAGGTCCACGAAGAGAAGTGGTTTGATGTGGCGAAGATTTCCTCTCAGATCAGCAGCAAAAGGCAGAGCCAATCATGAAAACTTTATAAACGCCAAAGGCTTTTTTTTTTTGTTCTCCTTCTTTTAAAAAAAAAAGACTACCACTTCCTTAATAACTTATAAAACATACTTTTCACTATTCATATCTTCCATTAGGATGACAAATGTGTGTTCCTCATCAAATAAAGTCACCAAAATAAAAAAAAAGAAAATAATTAACTCTGGAAACCTAATTTAACCCCCCTCACACCTCATAACTTTAAAGAAAGAAGTTAGAGTTTAATGCTATAATCTTATCTATTAATGATAAGCAATAAAAATCCAGAGATAATGATAAAAGTGTTTCCTTTGTTCCCTTTTTACTGTAAGTTATAAGTTATAAGCTTAGATTAAGTTTATCTAGCCTAAAGGAGTTTACGCACATGCAAGTGCTTATCTAATACAAGCTCAAGATCCAGCATGACTCCTTAACTGTTTCTGGACGGGCTTCCTCCTCTTCCTGCCCGCATACATGCAGTCTCCTGGTGGGATCATGATCTTGCGCTCCGTGGAGGTAGCAGGTGCGCTGCGGATCAGACAATGGCAAGTTAGAGCTGCTTTAACCAAAGGCTGGAGGGAGAAGCTTCCAGCGGGCCTACAGGTGTAGGATGACAGCTTCAAAAGCAACATGTTGCAGTATATTATGTCCCCATAGGTCAGGCCCTGACCTGTGATCAAATCTGCACAGCATTGGTGCAACTTCAGCTTAAAAGTTGCAGAAGATTTTAAATATATCAGGCTTAAATTATCTGATGATTGATTTTAAAAGCTCCCCATTAAAAGTTATCAATCAAAACTCTCTGGTTATAATGTTAACAGTGCATCTTTAAAAACTGGAGAAAAAAGATGGTTGTTATTAAAAGAAATCATCAAGCAATAATAAAAAAAAAAAGAAAAAATGAAAGGGATGATCAAACTAACCCAGAACACTCTTGGATTAAATCCAGAATCGATTTGGCTCCAGAATCACATCCAGTTTAAAATGCGCCAGAGATGCGCCTGGCAGAGGTGCACCGGCTCCGGGCAGCGATAGATCCGATCCGAGCGGCCGGGGTTCCTGCAGGAGCTCCGCGCTGATGTTTTCATCAGCGTCGCTCTGCTCGCAGGCAGATGTTGGCTGATTCTTTATACTCGATTGAGTCGCCTTGACTTCCTCGCGTTTCAGGTGGCGGATTCGTCTGAATGACATGTCGAGTTCTTCGCACGCAACTCGCTGCCTCGCAAACAGCGACGCGAGCGCACACACACAAAACAGGAGCTTATGCTGCGTTCAAGTCAAGTCCGTAAATAAGAAAAAATCGTTTTGTTGTAGTTTAAAGTTTACAGCGACCGTAAATTTTAGATTGAGCATCAACATTATATTCTAAACACATATAAACAAGTTGACTTGAATTATCTGGACAAAAATACATAATATATTATCAACTAATCACAACTATGTTACTCATAATAACATCAAAACAAGAAAACTCTAATTTATTTAATTAAAATGACTTTAAAGTTAACGTCCTAAGAGCTGTGCAGCATATACCTACTATATATGTGAATGCTTAGATGGTGAATATGGGTTATAAATAGCTATAACTATTGCTTTCTTACTGTAAGTAATACAAAGTTTAATATGCAAGGAAGCTGTTTTAGCATTTAAGGGCAGGATTGAAGTAAAATAAAATACGCCATTCCAATTTTTTGTGCATTTTTGATTATGTTTCCCCTTTCAAACTTATAAGTAAAAAAAAAAATCTTTAAGTTTCACTCTTTGCTTTCAAAACAACCATACAGCGACTTTTTTTTTTCTTTTATTTTGCAATGTCAAACATTCACAATAGCTGAAGTCCCTTTGTAAATCTTTAGTTAATATAAGCGCTTTCTTTATGTAAAGTTCATAAGTAGCCTACATAATCGAGAATTAGTCGATCATGTATCGGTTACTATCTTTTCGAGCAGTACTTGAAAGCACCATTTGTTTAAAGCTGGTCGCGCTAACTGACGCGTGCACACACCCAGACACACACACACACACACACGGGACAGAGGGAGGGACCAAGGGACGGCAGGGTGGGTCAGTCACTCCAACAGGACAGACTGGGCTCCTAAAGCTCCACTCCAGTCAAGAGGGAGCTTTAAAATCAAACAGTTTGTGATGCTGGACTAAAGAGGGAGTCTTTAGAGGAGTAATTTACTGGCTTCAGCTTCCAGCAACACTGAGGTACACATAATGCACCATGGTGCCTGGATGGGTTTAAATTAGAGTATCAACAGAATGAGTTCTTAGTATAGTTTTGAGTCTGGGACCTAAAAAACCGCAATGGGCAGTGGTGGTTTTAGACCAAATTTACCAGGGGGCGGGATAGGAACAGTGCTTTGTTGTTGTTGTTGTTTTTTTTTTTTTTTTGTTTTTTTTTAGACCCAGAATAAAATTTAAAAAACTGCAGAGAATGGGTTATAAATGAAGTGGTTCCCTCTGTGATGGGGTGGGGGGTTTGGTGATATCTGGAAGGGATCATGTCTATGATTGAATTGTATGTTTTTGGAAGCTGGAATCTCAGTCCACCACCTCTGTTTAAAGTTGGTTTTTCTCTCTTAACATAGATGGCTTCCTTCACGCCCCTCTCAAACCACCTATTTTCTTTATCCAGAATATGGACATTCTGGTCCTCAAAAGAATGTCCTTTGTCCACAAGGTGTAGGTGTACTGCGGAGTCTTGTCCAGAGGTGGCCGCTCTTCTGTGTTGGGCCATGCGTCTGTGGAGAGGTTGTTTGGTTTCTCCAATATAAAGATCAGAGCATTCCTCACTGCACTGAACAGCATATACCACTCCGCTCATATTTGGTCTGGGGGTTTTATCTTTCGGATGCACTAGCCTCTGTTTAAGGGTTTGGTTTGGCTTGAAATGTACTGGGATCTTGTGTTTGGAGAAAATCCTCTTGAGCTTTTCAGACACTCCAGCAACATAAGGGATTGTGATGTTTTTGCGTTTAATTTTAACATCGCTGTCTTCTGTTGCGTGTCTTTTGGATTTCCTTGCTGATTTGATAAAAGCCCAGTTTGGATATCCACAGTTTCGGAGAGCATCTTTGATGTGTTTCTGTTCTTTTTGCTTCCCATCTGTTTTAGTGGGGACATGTTCTGCCCGGTGTTGTAAGGTTCTGATGACTGAGAGTTTGTGTTCCAGTGGGTGGTGTGAGTCAAAAAGAAGATACTGGTCTGTGTGAGTAGGTTTCCTATAAACTTCAATGTTTAGGCTTCCATCTCCTTCCATGCTCACCAGGCAGTCCAGAAAGGGTAGTTTGTTGTCCTTGGCATCCTCTCTGGTGAATTTGATGTTGCGGTCAACAGCGTTGATGTGTTTGGTGAAAGCTTCCACTTCTTCTAGCTGTATTTTGACGAAAGTGTCATCCACGTATCTAAACCAGTGGCTTGGTGGTATTCCATTGAAAGTGTCTAAAGCTCTCTTTTCCATTTCTTCCATGTAAAGATTTGCTACAATTGGTGATACTGGAGATCCCATTGCGCAGCCATGTTTCTGTCTGTAAAAATTACCTCTGAATTTGAAATAGGTTGTGGAAAGACAAAGGCCCAGTAGTGTGCAGATCTGGTCCGGAGTGAAATTAGTCCTGTTGTTTAAATCACTATCTTGTTCAAGACGTGTCCTGACTGTTTCCACTGCCTCTGTTATAGGTATGCATGTGAAAAGTGAAGTAACATCAAACGATACCAGGGTTTCTCCTGGAGCCATCCTTAAATGTTTGGCTTTGTTGGCAAAGTCTTTGGAGTTTTCTATGTGATGTGGTGTGTTCCCCACCAAGGGAGCTAAGATATTAGTAAGCTGTTTAGCAATGTTGTATGTTACTGAGTTAATGCTGCTGACAATGGGCCTGAGTGGTGCCCCTTCTTTGTGAATTTTTGGAAGTCCATATAAGCATGGAATTTCCTCCCCTGGATATAATCGAAATAGGCTGTGCTGTTAATTACCTTGTCTTTTTCAAGTTGTTTGAGATAGTCTATTATTTTCTTTTTGTAGCCGCTGGTTGGATCTATTTTCAAGGATTCATACGTATCAGTGTCCTTCAGTAGAGTGATAATTTTGTCTTGGTAGTCTGAGGTGTTGAGGACTACGGTGCATCTTCCTTTGTCTGCTGGTAATATGGTGATGCTTTGGTCCTGGCTCAGGGATGTTATGGCTTTCATTTCCTGGGGTGTGAGGTTGGAAGGAGGTGGTTTGGCGCTGGACAGGGTGGCTGTTACCTTCATTCTGAGTTGCTCTGCCTCCGTTTCAGCCAGGTTGTTGTTCCTGATGGCCGATTCAGTGGTCGTGATTAGTTCCACAATGGGTACTTCTTGTGGAGCAATGGCAAAATTCAGGCCTTTACTCAGTACATCCATCTCTGGTTTTGTCAGTGGTCTGCTAGATAGGTTTTTTACCCACTTGTCTTCAACCTTGATGTTATCCTCCTGAGTCATGTTGCTCTCTTGTTTAAATGCTGCTTTCTGTTGTAATCTTTTGAATTTGGCTTTTTGTCTTTCTTTTGTTTTATGATGTTGTGAAAGCTTGACTTTATTGACCAAAATGGCAACTTCTTCAAACAAGGTTTCGGGGAGAAGTTTGGATAGCTTCTGCCTTGTCTGATCTATTTTGTGCGAGATAGCTTCAATTGTGAAGTGAGTCTGTCTAATCCTCTCACTAAGCAGCTTTTTGTGCGCATTCCTAAGAATCTCTTCTGCCCTGTGTCCTTTGATAGTAGACTTCAGTCTTAGACTGTTGGGAACGAGACCTTGCTGTCTACATCTTAAATTGAAACGTAGATGATTCCTATAATCTGCAAGTTTCCTAAGCAATTTCTCGTACTCACGCGTTATTCCGAGGGTGTCTTTCCCAAAATGGAGTGCAATATGCTGATGAAGGTTCTCAGTCATCCAGGTCATAGTCATTCCGTAAAAATTCAAAAAATATCCACTGGACTTGGTTTTCAAGATTTGAAGACGTTTCGCCACCTCTCCAGGAAGCTTTCTCAATTCAAATGTCTGGATCCGCAGTGAGCTTGAGTCTTATATAGACAACGCCTTGTATCGCTTGGAAACATGCAATAGAAACCGATGAATGGGTCGTTAGTTCCATCGTTAGCCTGTAATATCTGAAACTGTCTATGATTCTAGGGGTCGGTCGTTAAAGGGGGGATTGTCATTAAGGGGGGGATTGTCTCCTGTAATACCTGAAACCTGTCTATGATTGTTAAGGGTTGGTCGTTAAGGAGGTATTGTTCACCGGCTGGAGCGGGTAAGTCCCTCGTTCCTCTGTGATTGGAAAGAACCAGCGTTTTGGGTTTGGGGCCTATAGTTTTTACCAGTGCAAGAGAGGTAGGACAAAATAAAAAGCTTGTACTCTTTAATTGTTGGCAAAAATAGAAAATAAACCATCCAAAACCATCATCAAGACTGGACATTGAACCTTCTTTTTGCCTTTCCCAGTGCCTTAGTGGCTTAAAGGAACTTTAACTGGATCTTTGGCTTGGCAAAAAATCACCACTAAACTACCATTTTCCTTAAATAATAGACTTGTACTCACTTGGTGGCAGTGGAGGTTCTATCATATCAGGGGCCCCTGGAGAAAGTCCCTCCTGCCATCCCACATACACGTAAACATCCACCAACAGTTCTGAAAAAAAAAAACAATTAAAATAAAAAATCAACTTTAATTTTGTAACTGTAAAAAAAAAAATAAGAATTCTTAGAGATTATATATTGTGTAAAGCAATAATAATCAATGTAGAGTCAAAGTTTGACTAATTTAATGGAGTCCCTTTTTCCACTGAAAGCCCTGGGATTTAATCCCCAGTATCTATTTAACTCAGGTAATGGAAATACTTGGAAATGTGTCACTCTGCTTTTCCCATTTCTCTGAAAGGCCTAGGGACACAGATTTAATTCAGCCTGTGACAAACTGCACTACACCTTCAGTACAGCAGATGGCGATAATAGGAACACACAACTGTTTGTATAGGACCTGACCACCTTTAAAGTTACTTTTATTAATTTGATATCGCAAAACCCTTCACATTAAAACTTTAAATAGTTATTTAAATGTATTTTTATTAACATTTATGTAGCCGAAGTTGATGCTTCAAAACTACTGTATACAAAAAATGATTGACTACTGCACAAACAGACAAACTTTAATTTTCCAAAGGCAAGGCAAGGCAAGGCAAATTTATTTGTATAGCACAATTCAGTACA